TTGGTCTCCACAGTCGCGCGCAACCCACTTCGCCTGCACACGCCACCCACTACTGTCCCCTTTCATTTGGTTGTCGTCCAAGGTGGAGGTAATTGGAACTTGTCCCCCAATCTCTTAATAACTAATTGGTGCTGCCTGGGTTACTCAATAGTTAATGTTGTTGACGGTTGGAGTTTATTTTCTCAATTGGTGAATTCCACCAGTGGTACTGGTCGGACTATTTTCGCTTGGAATTGCTATTTCTTTTGGGTTGGGTGAAATTGTGCAATTAATTGGCCAACTGGAGCCATTTGTTGGGACTATGGGTGAGCTGAAATACCGCACTTGTTTGTTAAATTGGGAGGTTTCTATGCCATTTACATTGCTTATTCCAGTTGGGTGCATCTGATTGAATTGCTGGGGTTGCTAATTACATTGTTTGGGGGGTTGTTTTGCTGTCTTGGTTGTTGCCTGGATTTAAGTTAACAATTTGAAGAATACTCTGCCCGTTTGTTTCACTTGGTTGACGTTTTGGGTGGCACGAGGGCACTTGAATCTACTCGTTGACATTGGTCCAATTTAAGTGATTAGTCGGTGCCAAATTGACTGCTGACTTAGGTTGCTATTTGGGTGACTGTTTGAGTGAGAGCTAAGTGTTTTTTATTGATTTGTTACTGTCTAATTTCTGCACTGCTATTGCTGATTTTGAGTTCAAACGGTAACTGGCCAACTGGAGCCATTTGTTGAGATTTTGGGTGGACAGAGTTTTGCATTTGCTGGTTGAATTGAGTTAAGATGTCTCAGCACTTGGGTGCATACTTCCGCCACATCGGTTTTCCTCCACCGTTCCCGCCTATCCCTTCGTCACTCGAGAGGGAAGTTTCATTGTTCTCTTCATTTTAATTACTTTATTACCTCCATTGAGGACAATGTAGGATTTAGGTGTGGGGGGGGGGAGCAGTTATGGTGTTAGTTTTTCTAGTTCTTAGTTTTCAGATATTTTTCTTTTATTTTTAGTCTGTTATTTGTCTAGTTTTCGTTTACTTTTTGTCATTTATCTATCTAGCTCTCCTATGACTGCCAAGTTTGATGTTGGATTGTTGCCTCTATTTCTGCTATTGCCAAACTTTAATAATAAAAGTGTATCAAGTCAATGTGGTTGAGTCCAAAAACATCTCTTTGGTGAATATCGGTGATTGTTTTACTTTTCTAATTTTTGGTTAACTCTTCTAGGCATTGGGAATGACTGTTGGCATTTTCATGTGAATTGGTCCGGTTATTAACCTTAGTTCTTCATATTTAAAATTGAGGCTAGCGGCTGCAAATTTTCTTTTGATTTTTGTTTTATTTTAAATTTTTGGTGTTATTAGGCTGTGAATAAGAGTTGACTGTACTCCGCTAGTATTTACCACTGAATAACCGGGGATCTGCACCTAAAGTGTTGATTCTCGCGTCAAAAGGTAGTAATTCCTATGAGTACGTGGTCGTATAACGATAGGAGCTGAGTAACCGGGCTCCTTCATCTGGCAAATGTTGGAGTTCGCGTCAAAAAGTTCTAATGGCTAGCGACTAAGTCTTTTGTTACTATTGAGAAAAGAAAAAAAAAAGAAAAAAAAAGAGGAAAAAATAGAAAAAATAGAAAAACATTAAAAAAAATGAATGTTGTGTTAGTATATAATAAAAGTCAGATTGCCGATTTATGGATTTAATGTTGAGATTTTGGTTACAAGTTGGACCATTTGCTGATAAATGTTGCACGTCATTCCTTTTTCTTAGATTAGTTAATCTGAAATTAGAGGTGTCTATGGTTTAGAAGCTAACCGAAGTGATGTTTCTTGGATCTTGATCACTGATGCTTGATATATATTTTTCTTGGTATCTTGGCAATTTGGTAGATAGAGCAATAGCCATTGTCGAATATTGGTGTTTGTTTACTGTTCTTATACTTGAGGATAAGCATGGTTTAGGTGTGGGGGGAATTGATAAGGTGCGATTTTATTATTTATTTTATTATTAATTTCCCCTATTATCTGACTCAATGTGGATTAATTGCTGGATTCTACTCACTTTTAGTATTTGGCATTTATTTCAGGGAGTAGAACAAAAATATGATAATAAGTACCAATTTAGCAGAAAAGGAGTCCAAGTGATAGAGCTTGCCCCAGGGGCATTTTTGGAAAAGAAAATGTCACGCCCATTTCGGTAATTTCTGCAGAGGAATGACGGACGAAGGGTTCCTTTCCTGGCTGGACAGCCGCCGCAGGAGGCATGAGCGTAGCAGGAGATTTTTTCCTTGTAGCCTTTTGAAAGGGATTTCTTTTAGCTGCTATTACGAATGGCAGATGGCTTTTACCTTTTCCTTCATCTTTGACTTTTCTTCTTTAGCTTGTCGTAGTGGAATGCTCCTACGAATGTCAGGACCACTAAAACATTCTTGGCTTTGACTTTTCTTCCCTAGAAGTTTTAGTAGTTTTTTTGCCCTTTTGTGCGTGGGGACGGAGTGGAAGCCATGAATGGCCTTTTGTAGCTTTCCTATCTAATCAATATTCGGACGAGTTAGATCTTCCAAATTTCAACAGGCGATGACCGCTGCTCCCTCTTCAATCTTGTATGTTTTTTTCGCATCAGACATGAACTAATTTCACCACTCTAGTCAAGGAGCAACGAAGGCTTTGATTCGCCTAAAAATTGTGAGATCGATTTAATTTAATCTTTTCCTTTTATTTATTGGTATTCGCATATTCCTTGATTGCTATGCTTATGGTTATTTAATTAATTGATTGTCTTGGATCTGGATAATTAATTGATTTGGTAACCTATTGTCAATTAGGGCATTAAATTCGTAATTGTTTAATTGTCCTGAAATAGTGACAACTGTCATTATTAGATTCGTGTCAGGGAGATACGCGGCCTAATCTGAAATAACCCTGGTAGTGCGTTATTTGGTTAGAATAGGGCTCCTCTAATACGTAAGGCAATTGGGGAATTAAATCTTACGGGCGTACCTAGGATTATTTCCTAATTAGAGCAGTGATTAACGGACGTACCTTAATCACCGACACAGTAAGGAAGGATTGACTGTCATCGCTTGTTTGGTAGTTATAACCTATTTATGGATGAATAATTGGAATTGTCTTTGCATCGATGATCAATTAGGTGAACCATTGTTGAAGTTATTTCTTGGCTAGATTTTTAATTAATATTACCTTGATTTTAGTGAATTGCCATTTGACTTTTTAGTTACCTATTTTATTTTATTTTTAATTGTTTTCTTGTTTTAATTGATTTAAACCTTTAATTATTGTTATTCTAAATTCAGTCAATTGTTGTTTAATTTCTATTTAGTTATTTATTTTTATTTTCTTATTTGAATTTATTTGATTGTCGTTGTTCCTACAAAATCACCCCCTGTGTTACTTTGGACTTCTCAAGAAACAAATATACCCAATCCCTATGGATACGACCCTACTTGCCCTGTCTACAAGTTCATAATTATTTGTGGAAAAATAACCATCCCATTCGGGTATATCGGATCAGGCAAACTCTTCGGAAACAGGGTGAATCAAGTAACCCATTGCATACCTAGAGTCTCTACTCCAGCACTTGGAATTGGGTTTTGGTCATTTTAACTGGCAATTAGGTTTAATTTTATTATTGTGCAGGCTTCGACAACCTGTCAATTTTTGGCGCCGTTGCCGGGGACTGGCGTTATTATTTGTTTCTTTTTAAATTCATTTTTTGTTCTAATTTTCTTGTATTTTTTCTAGTGTATGCCCCTATCTTCTCGTACAGGTGATTTGATTTTTGACCTTGAAGTAGAGAAGATCGCACGTAGAACGAGAAAGAAAACCAGACAACTCAGAGAGGAGCAGTCCAGTATTACATCTCAGAGACCTGAGCCAGAAGTTGAACCAACAGATTCGTTTGGAGACACTTCGAGTGACTCTGACCAGGAGGAAGGAACCATGGCTAATGCACGAACATTAAGGGAGTTGGCTGCTCCTGATTTAAATCAGCAGCCTTTATGCATTACCTTCCTCACCTTAAATGATAACACTCCATTTGAACTAAAATTTGGACTGATTCATCTTTTACCCTCTTTTCACGGTTTACCAGGTGAAGAGCCGTATAAGCATCTGCAGGAGTTTGATATCGTGTGCAATAGTATGAAACCCTCGGGAATCACAAAAGAGCAAATAAAAATGAGGGCATTTCCCTTTTCCTTTAAAGATTCTGCAAAGGACTGGCTGTACTACCTGCCACCAAGTAGCATCACCACGTGGGACCAATTGAAGAAAAAAATTTTAGATAAATATTTTCCTGCGTCCAGGACTGCAACTCTAAGGAAAGAAATTTGCGGGATCAAGCAGCACCCAAGGGAGCCACTCTATGAGTATTGGGAGCGGTTCAAGAAGTTGTGCAACAAGTGCCCCCAGCACCAAATAAGTGAGCAGTTGCTCATACAGTATCTTTATGAGGGGCTCCTTTTCAGAGACAGGAGCATAATTGATGCTGCAAGTGGAGGGGCACTGGTGAACAAAACCCCTCGGGAAGCAAGGGAGTTAATAGAGGGGATGGCAGAGAATTCACAACAATTCGATACAAGGGAGGATGTCCCAATACGCAAGGTGAATGAGGTAGAGACATCCTCTATCCAGCAGCAGCTAACTGAGTTGACCTCGTTTGTTAGGCAACTGGCTGTAGGAAATACAGCTCAAGCCAAGGTGTGCGGGATTTGCACTGGTATGGGTCATTCTACAGACATATGTCCAATGATGCAAGAGGAGGGTGCAGAGCAAGTGAACATGACAGGTCACGTGCCCGCGCCAAGAGTGCCCTATGACCCCTATTCAAGTACCTACAACCCTGGTTAAAGAGACCACCCTAACCTCAGCTATGGAGGGAATAGACAGTCCAATTTCGTGCCTAATAGACAACAAGGGTACCAGCAGCAGTACCAACCCCGACCACCTCCGCCACCAAGCTCTGGTCCATCTTTGGAGGAGATGATGAAACAACTGATGGCAACCATTACGCAAAATCAGCAAAGGACAGACTCCGAAATGCAGGACATAAAAAATCAGATGAGTCAAATGGTCACAAAAATCAACCGTTTGGAGTCCCAAGTAAATGGAAGATTGCCATCCCAACCTGAAGTGAACCTGAAGAACGTAAGTGCAATGACTTTAAGGAGCGGGAAGGAAATTCAAGGGCCCGAACTCGTGACTCCAAAGGATAAGGACGAAGAGAAGATTGAGAAAGAACTTCAGGCAGAGAATACAAGCACAAAAAATCCAATGGTACTCCCTGACCCGATCATAGACGTTAAAACTAATCCCCCTCCATTTCCTTGCAGGTTGGAGAAATCGAAAAAGCAGGACAAAGAGAAGGAGATCCTAGAGGTGTTCCGCAAGGTAGAGATCAATATCCCCTTATTAGATGCCATCAAACAAGTGCCGAAATATGCAAAATTTTTGAGGGACCTATGTGTCAACCGAAAGCAGCTGAGGGGAGACGAAAGGATCATTGTTGGGGAGAATGTGTCAGCAGTTCTCCAAAGGAAGTTTCCACCAAAGTGCGGGGATCCAGGTAGGTTTACTGTCCCATGTAAGATAGGTAATACTCTAATTAGGAATACCCTGCTGGATTTAGGGGCATCGATCAACGTAATGCCAAAATCTATGTAGGCTTCTCTAAACCTCGGTCCATTAAAAGAAACCGAGATAATAATTCAATTAGCTGACAGAACAAATGCATACCCTGATGGGTTGATAGAAGATGTGCTGGTTAAAGTTAATGAATTGATATTTTCGGCTGACTTTTATGTACTTGACATGGATGATGATCATTCCCCTGACCCCTCACCTTTGCTACTAGGTAGACCCTTTTTTAGCACAGCACAGACAAAAATTGACGTTAATAAGGGTACATTGTCCATGGAATTTGATGGAGAACTAGTCCATTTTAATATTTTCGATACAATGGAACTTCCTGTTAACTCTCACCCTGTGTTTGCTATTCATGCTATTAAGCCCTTTGTGCAAGAATTTTCTGAGTTTGCTTGTAGGGACAAATTCAAATTTACTGAGAACAAGTATAAGGGGATGGAAGCACTTATGAGGTGAAAAGGAGCAGAAAATTAAGAAAGGAGGCTGCCATCAAAGGCTATTTGGATCATGGAGGAGGGCCACCGATTTTCAGGAAAACTGAGTTACACCCAGATTGAAGAGTGGTGTTCAATGTCTAGCCAAAGACATTAAAGAAAGGCGCTCATTGGGAGGCAACCCAATTATTTCTTTTAATTGTTTGTTTTGATTTCGTGTGATAGTTTAAATATGTTTTTCTTGAATTTGACTGATTTCGGGTTTCAATTTTCTTTTTTGATGATTTGTAGGTGTCTTTCTGTCATGACGCGCCCGCGTCGTGACATCTGGAGAGCTCACGGTCAGAATCGTCAGAAGGGGTTCCTGCCCTCATGACGTCTGGAGAGCTCACGGTCAGAATCGTCGAAAGGGATTCCTGCCCTCATGACGTGCCCGCATCATGACCCATGAAGAGCTCAAGGTCAGAGAGCTCCCCCGTTCTCATTCCGTGCCTTCGTCAGAGAGCTAAAGGTTGAGTTTTGCAATTGTTATAGGAAAAAATTTAATTAAAAAAAAAACTAAAAAAAAAATTTCCTTTTCACCATAGCTTAAATTTCTAAAAAAAAAAAATCTCTTTCTTTTTCCTTCTTTTCTTTTCTTTCTTTTTCTTTCTTTCTTTCTGCTTCTTTCTTTCTTTTTTCTTTCTTCCCCGCTGCCCTTGTTCACCCTTTCTTTCTTTTCCTCTGCGCACGCCGCGGCCCATTACCTCCATCCCAGCTCCAGCCCCGCCACCAGCTCGCGCTCGCCTCTCTCACGCTCGCCACCGTCGCGCGCCCCACCAGACCACCAGCTCCCCTCACTTCTCGAGCCTCTGCGCACGCCGCCGTCGTTTACTCCATCTCACCCGCTGTCCGGGCGGAAGCCGCAACAGTGCCGCCGTCCCTCTCTCTCTGAGCTCCGCCGCCACCCACTCACCCCCAGCTCATCCGCAACCCCATCTCGGCGCGCCACCTCCATTAGCTCACGAAGCCCAGGTTAAGTTCGCCGCGATTGTCGCCGCGGCTACTTTCTTCCACCGCAGCCCAGTCCACCAGTGCTCCACTTTCGCCTCCAGCTTGGTCTCCACAGTCGCGCGCAACCCACTTCGCCTGCACACGCCACCCACTACTGTCCCCTTTCATTTGGTTGTCGTCCAAGGTGGAGGTAATTGGAACTTGTCCCCCAATCTCTTAATAACTAATTGGTGCTGCCTGGGTTACTCAATAGTTAATGTTGTTGACGGTTGGAGTTTATTTTCTCAATTGGTGAATTCCACCAGTGGTACTGGTCGGACTATTTTCGCTTGGAATTGCTATTTCTTTTGGGTTGGGTGAAATTGTGCAATTAATTGGCCAACTGGAGCCATTTGTTGGGACTATGGGTGAGCTGAAATACCGCACTTGTTTGTTAAATTGGGAGGTTTCTATGCCATTTACATTGCTTATTCCAGTTGGGTGCATCTGATTGAATTGCTGGGGTTGCTAATTACATTGTTTGGGGGGTTGTTTTGCTGTCTTGGTTGTTGCCTGGATTTAAGTTAACAATTTGAAGAATACTCTGCCCGTTTGTTTCACTTGGTTGACGTTTTGGGTGGCACGAGGGCACTTGAATCTACTCGTTGACATTGGTCCAATTTAAGTGATTAGTCGGTGCCAAATTGACTGCTGACTTAGGTTGCTATTTGGGTGACTGTTTGAGTGAGAGCTAAGTGTTTTTTATTGATTTGTTACTGTCTAATTTCTGCACTGCTATTGCTGATTTTGAGTTCAAACGGTAACTGGCCAACTGGAGCCATTTGTTGAGATTTTGGGTGGACAGAGTTTTGCATTTGCTGGTTGAATTGAGTTAAGATGTCTCAGCACTTGGGTGCATACTTCCGCCACATCGGTTTTCCTCCACCGTTCCCGCCTATCCCTTCGTCACTCGAGAGGGAAGTTTCATTGTTCTCTTCATTTTAATTACTTTATTACCTCCATTGAGGACAATGTAGGATTTAGGTGTGGGGGGGGGGAGCAGTTATGGTGTTAGTTTTTCTAGTTCTTAGTTTTCAGATATTTTTCTTTTATTTTTAGTCTGTTATTTGTCTAGTTTTCGTTTACTTTTTGTCATTTATCTATCTAGCTCTCCTATGACTGCCAAGTTTGATGTTGGATTGTTGCCTCTATTTCTGCTATTGCCAAACTTTAATAATAAAAGTGTATCAAGTCAATGTGGTTGAGTCCAAAAACATCTCTTTGGTGAATATCGGTGATTGTTTTACTTTTCTAATTTTTGGTTAACTCTTCTAGGCATTGGGAATGACTGTTGGCATTTTCATGTGAATTGGTCCGGTTATTAACCTTAGTTCTTCATATTTAAAATTGAGGCTAGCGGCTGCAAATTTTCTTTTGATTTTTGTTTTATTTTAAATTTTTGGTGTTATTAGGCTGTGAATAAGAGTTGACTGTACTCCGCTAGTATTTACCACTGAATAACCGGGGATCTGCACCTAAAGTGTTGATTCTCGCGTCAAAAGGTAGTAATTCCTATGAGTACGTGGTCGTATAACGATAGGAGCTGAGTAACCGGGCTCCTTCATCTGGCAAATGTTGGAGTTCGCGTCAAAAAATTCTAATGGCTAGCGACTAAGTCTTTTGTTACTATTGAGAAAAGAAAAAAAAAAGAAAAAAAAAAGAGGAAAAAATAGAAAAAATAGAAAAACATTAAAAAAAATGAATGTTGTGTTAGTATATAATAAAAGTCAGATTGCCGATTTATGGATTTAATGTTGAGATTTTGGTTACAAGTTGGACCATTTGCTGATAAATGTTGCACGTCATTCCTTTTTCTTAGATTAGTTAATCTGAAATTAGAGGTGTCTATGGTTTAGAAGCTAACCGAAGTGATGTTTCTTGGATCTTGATCACTGATGCTTGATATATATTTTTCTTGGTATCTTGGCAATTTGGTAGATAGAGCAATAGCCATTGTCGAATATTGGTGTTTGTTTACTGTTCTTATACTTGAGGATAAGCATGGTTTAGGTGTGGGGGGAATTGATAAGGTGCGATTTTATTATTTATTTTATTATTAATTTCCCCTATTATCTGACTCAATGTGGATTAATTGCTGGATTCTACTCACTTTTAGTATTTGGCATTTATTTCAGGGAGTAGAACAAAAATATGATAATAAGTACCAATTTAGCAGAAAAGGAGTCCAAGTGATAGAGCTTGCCCCAGGGGCATTTTTGGAAAAGAAAATGTCACGCCCATTTCGGTAATTTCTGCAGAGGAATGACGGACGAAGGGTTCCTTTCCTGGCTGGACAGCCGCCGCAGGAGGCATGAGCGTAGCAGGAGATTTTTTCCTTGTAGCCTTTTGAAAGGGATTTCTTTTAGCTGCTATTACGAATGGCAGATGGCTTTTACCTTTTCCTTCATCTTTGACTTTTCTTCTTTAGCTTGTCGTAGTGGAATGCTCCTACGAATGTCAGGACCACTAAAACATTCTTGGCTTTGACTTTTCTTCCCTAGAAGTTTTAGTAGTTTTTTTGCCCTTTTGTGCGTGGGGACGGAGTGGAAGCCATGAATGGCCTTTTGTAGCTTTCCTATCTAATCAATATTCGGACGAGTTAGATCTTCCAAATTTCAACAGGCGATGACCGCTGCTCCCTCTTCAATCTTGTATGTTTTTTTCGCATCAGACATGAACTAATTTCACCACTCTAGTCAAGGAGCAACGAAGGCTTTGATTCGCCTAAAAATTGTGAGATCGATTTAATTTAATCTTTTCCTTTTATTTATTGGTATTCGCATATTCCTTGATTGCTATGCTTATGGTTATTTAATTAATTGATTGTCTTGGATCTGGATAATTAATTGATTTGGTAACCTATTGTCAATTAGGGCATTAAATTCGTAATTGTTTAATTGTCCTGAAATAGTGACAACTGTCATTATTAGATTCGTGTCAGGGAGATACGCGGCCTAATCTGAAATAACCCTGGTAGTGCGTTATTTGGTTAGAATAGGGCTCCTCTAATACGTAAGGCAATTGGGGAATTAAATCTTACGGGCGTACCTAGGATTATTTCCTAATTAGAGCAGTGATTAACGGACGTACCTTAATCACCGACACAGTAAGGAAGGATTGACTGTCATCGCTTGTTTGGTAGTTATAACCTATTTATGGATGAATAATTGGAATTGTCTTTGCATCGATGATCAATTAGGTGAACCATTGTTGAAGTTATTTCTTGGCTAGATTTTTAATTAATATTACCTTGATTTTAGTGAATTGCCATTTGACTTTTTAGTTACCTATTTTATTTTATTTTTAATTGTTTTCTTGTTTTAATTGATTTAAACCTTTAATTATTGTTATTCTAAATTCAGTCAATTGTTGTTTAATTTCTATTTAGTTATTTATTTTTATTTTCTTATTTGAATTTATTTGATTGTCGTTGTTCCTACAAAATCACCCCCTGTGTTACTTTGGACTTCTCAAGAAACAAATATACCCAATCCCTATGGATACGACCCTACTTGCCCTGTCTACAAGTTCATAATTATTTGTGGAAAAATAACCATCCCATTCGGGTATATCGGATCAGGCAAACTCTTCGGAAACAGGGTGAATCAAGTAACCCATTGCATACCTAGAGTCTCTACTCCAGCACTTGGAATTGGGTTTTGGTCATTTTAACTGGCAATTAGGTTTAATTTTATTATTGTGCAGGCTTCGACAACCTGTCAATAAACTTATGATTTATAATGATTAGTGATATTAGTTGTAAGTGGTATTAGTTATAAGTTACAGACTTATAACTTAGTCCAAACCAAAATGGAACTGACTTATGATATTGTGCAGCTGTGTACACTTAATCATTTATTTACTTTTAATTTACATATTATGTAATGCATTACACTTACTTTTATTCATATTTCTTATATAGCTTTAATGCTTAATTTGCAAATGACTTAATTGCTTTTAATGTGAAAGCTAATACATTAATATATTGAC